CTATGAATGTAAGCTCGACTTGTCGCAAAAAAGGATAAAACTTTTTTATCTGAAAAGTCAAAATAAAGTGATGGTTTCTGTTGGATTTATTGACAAGCGATTATTAACACGTATGCACATTTTTATAAAATAAGTTAAAATAGGAAAAAATAATATAGCTTTAACAGCAACAAAAAACTCTAACCATATCTCTTTATTTATTAATAGTTTACAGTAAATAAGTCCACATGTTTCGCTATATCTATAACATTATCAAGACAAGAGAATTTCGACAGAAAATTGACAATATATAGTTAGAGAGAAAAAAAATGACACCATACTCAAGAACATTCGTGTGAATTTGACAAATACAAAAAATACTAGAATACCTCTACTTATGATGTGACTTATTTACTGTAAACTATTAATAAATAAAGAAATATGGTTAGATTTTTTGCTGCCGTTAAAGCTATATTACTTATTCTCAAGTTATTACCGATTAATGAATTAAAATAAGAAAGTTAACAAAGAAGAAAAATAGGTGCATATTGGGTTTTTCAGCTTGAATTATCTGGTTGTTTTTACCATTCTCATGTGACAGACGTAAGAATTTTCTAATCAACATATACATAAATATGAACAATAATCATAAGGTGAGATGTATTTTTTAATCGACAGAAATCATTAACTTAACTGTCCTTTTTTGTCTTTTTCTTGTTCTTCAACAAACAATTTCTTATTTTATTATAAAAAATTGAATGAGCTTCTAACAAAATTAGGAATGCGAATTTCGGTATGGAGCATTTGTAACTTTCAGGTGCGGAATTTCTAATAAACCTCGCTTGACACTCGACAATGTTTTAATTATAAGACTGGAAAAAATCTCTCGCAAAAACAACGCAGTAGTGTGACTGTTTGTTTTGCTATCGATATTGCAAAAAAAAGTTTTCATTTTAGTTAAATGTTTAGAAACAGCAATATAATAAATAGTAGATGTAACAAACATAATTACTATGATATGTTTTTTTAATCATTATCAATGCTTTCTCCATGAGCATACAGTACATTGATCGTTGAATCTTCTCTACTAGTAATGGCTAGCATCAGTTATCCTCTCATAGCTGTAATGTGAAAGGTGACTGACTGAAAGACACGAGCGTCTATTTTCTTCACTGTTTTTAGTTCTATCTCGAAAAAGAACTAATTCTGGAACCTCTTTTGCCGAGATGACGCTTCAGAAAATGAAACTACTAGCTAAACTTGAAAAATGTCGTGTGATTTGTAAATCTTAGAATATCAAGCTTAGGATTTCGTCGAATATATTTTAACTTTCTACCTTTACGACGATCTTAGCGCAAAATACTGCCATACAATGCATACGTTCGCGAAGAGAAGTATTACATCTCATATTAATCATTAGTAAGATGATATAATATAAAATTCAGTGTGAGTTCGTCAATATCTAAGCCATTTTCATGAAAATCTGCAAATAGAGGTGTAAGTCGCGCCGCCAACAGCCTTTGTTCACTTGTATACAGCCGATGACAAGCCGTCATTGTGGTCGAAGAGAACAAAGAATCTTCACCGGCGCGGTTTACATCTCTATCTGCAGAACAGAATGAATAAAGCATCCCAATAAATATTATGTTAGAATGCAAAATTTGGATATATTGCCGCTAGCTTTTATTTATATTGTTGTTCAGAGAACCAATTATACATAAAGAAGCATGTTTATCTTTTTCCGACAAATGCAAAGCTTTTCAAAAGCATTTTTTTTTTACTTTTTCGAATATATAGGAAATATAGGAAAAATGTCTGAAAAATAGGATATTATAGGACCATTTTCAAACATATAGGAAATATAGGACGACTACGACGCCTGGAAGTTGTGTCTTATCAAGAAATAATATGAACTTAAGATTAAATTTAAATTGTGTAATAGATTGATTAAATCATCTATTGTTATCATATTAAAAAAGAAAACATTCCTATTTTATGTTTAAAACTAAAAAAGTGAATTTTTCCTAAGTTATTTTATTGAAAAGAATTTTATTTCTTTTATTACTTTTGTTGATATGAGACTAGTCGATTAATGTTGATGAAATTCAACATGAGTAAATAAATAAGAAAATTAGAATAGCTTTATTTTTTTTTATAAAGACTTACAATAGATATTTCATATATCATCATATATATTAACTAATAACATGAGAATAGTAAATCATATTCTGTATTGAATTTATCTGAATATGTTATGATTAGAATCTCTATATTAGACTTACAAAATATAATGATACCTATCAATAAATGAAATAATTTTCTTTTTTATTTATCAACAATATAACACAGCTATATAACAACCACAAGAGAAAAAAAAATACACCGAAATAAAGAATACATATTTAAATATTACGAAGTAGAATTATTTTAATCGTTTTAAATGAATGACATGAAATATATTTATTGAATTTTTTTGTTATAAAGTTCTTTTAATTGATCTTTTAATGTCTGAAAATCTGATGATTTAGTTAATTTATTTATTGTATTTAATAACTTTGAATATTTTGTATTTTTATTTTTAACATTTTCCCATAATTCTAATAATCTTGGTATCTTTTCTTTAGTAGATAATAATTCTTCAATTGAATTTAATTTAGCTTGAACATTCTCATTAATCATATAGATAATAATATTTAATACACATTTTAAATCAAATGTTTTATCATAACGATAAGATGGAGACCAAAATGTATTATGTTCGATTTTTGAACAAAAATTTAAAAATTCATAACCAGCATATATTATTGTACCTGCTATTGGTAATTCTTTTGATTTATCATTAATATCCAATGTAAAAGCAAATCCAAAATCAATTAATTTTATATATTGACCAGATTTATCCGACATTAAATTATTTGGACGTATATCTCGATGAATAATATTAGAATCATATAAATATTCAATTATATCAATAAGATTTTCCGATTGAGTTAATGATAATGATGTTAATTTTGTGTAATTCATTATTAAATATCAAATAATTACCTAAATAAAAAAAAAACTATTATAGATTATTTATAATAAAAATTTTGTCAGATTTTTTTTCTTTCGTTCAATTCATTTAATATTTAACAAAAAACAAAAAAAAACGTGTATTGTTATTTCTCATATTTTTTTTCAAAAATAAATTCTTCAACGTTATCTGTCGTCTATTATAATAATTAATTTTTTTTTTCTAAGCTTTAATGAAAGATTTTCTATAAAATAAAATAAATAGATTTGAACATTTCTAAAATCTCTTTTTCTTTTTTTTTTCTTTATTCAAAACAAAAGAAATTTAATTTTATTCTTTATAATCTTTCAATCTATTGAAAATCTTAAGAAAATAATAAAGAAAATCGTTACCTGTTGGTGACGAATATATAATTTCTTGAAAAAATGATTCAAACTTATGTATATCTTTTTCTTTTAATTTTTTTGTTATCATTAATTCATTTAAAAATTCTGATGAATATCCATTGTTTTTTGAAATTTTTATTACATGACTTTTTATGTCATTAGTATTATTTTCTTGTTTTCTTTTATTATTATTATTTGTTTGTTGATTTTCATTATTATTTTCTTTATCATTTAATAAATATACTTTTGATGTTAACCCATATCCTAATCTATTTGTAATCAAATATTTATTTAATTGATTATCACATGGATCTATATTTAATGTTTCATATCGATAAAAATTCATATTCATTATTAAAAATTTTGTAAATATTTTCCATGTATCTTCACAATAATGAAATTTTTTTTTTGATTTTTCATTTGTTGTTATTTTTTGTCTATTATTAATTGGCAATTTTTCAAATGAAGAATCATATATTTGGAAACTTTTACTTTGATAATAATTATAGTCACTAGAATTTTGTCTTCGTTCAACATAATAAAATTTTATATCTTTAGAATTTAACAGAAAACCATAGATTTTTGGACGGGCTTGTTTTCTTAATTATATACGTAAATATTGTAATAATTGACCAATGCATTTTGTCTCTGTCATAGACTGATCCGGACATTTTAATTCACCAAGACAAACAACAAAATCTTGTAAACATTCATTACTAACATCGATATTTTTAAAAATAAATGTACAATCAGGAGAATATTTTGATTCTAAATAAGACGAACCAACTGTATTTTTATATTGTAATAATGTAGAATCATCATATGCATTTAATAAATTAGCTATTAAGTCGTTAAAGTTTTTCTGAAGATCTGTTTCATAGACTCTTTTAAGTGATGAAAGTTCATTCAAATAATCTTTAATATAATTTTTTATTCTATCATTAAAATAATCATTATCATTTGACGATACCCAATCAATTTCAAAATTATATAGATTACCATCTACCACATAACCGTAAAAATCTTTATGAGATGACCATAATATATCCGTTAATGATGATTGTGTACGTTGCATTTTTATGCGTTTAGTTTTTTCTTCTTCTTCGATTTCCTTATTTTTACGTTTAGTTTCTTCTTCGATTATTTTATTTTGACGTTTACCCAAGACAAAGCCGCTCGGTCGGATTCTGTCGGATGGATTTCAAATCCGACGTTTCAGACGTAATCCAGTCCGGATTCCTGGGCACAGGATTCCGACGCAAACTGGAGCGGATCCGATCGGTTTTTAACGGAAGACGTCGGACTCCGATGCAATCCGTTTCGGATCCGATGGTTGCCAGTAAGATCCACAAGTCGGATTCAATCTCTTGGGTATCTCGGTTTCTCCGAAAGGCACCCAAGAGATTCAAACCAAGGAAAGCCGCTCGGTCGGATTCTATCGGATGGATTTCAAATCCGTTTGAATGCGACGAACGGATATTTTCCGACGTAATCCGGTCCGGAATCCTGTTGCAAGGAATCCGACGCAAACTCGATTGGATCCGATCGATTTCCGGGAGGATCCACAGGTCGGATTGAATCTCTTGGGTAGTTTCTTCTTCGATTATTTTATTTTGACGTTTAGTTTCTTCGTCGATTTTTTTATTTTCACGTTTAGTTTCTTCTTCGAGTCGTTTACGTTTAGTTTTTTCTTCTTCACGTTTAGTTTTTTCTTGTTCTATCAAATATTGTAATTCAAATGTTGTTCGAGGTTGATTATTATTGTTATCAGCCATCATATTCGGGTATTTGTTTTATAATCTATAAAAAAAAAAAAATAGGGAATAAAACTTCGATGGTTATTCTTTACTATCTTGTTTTTTGATTTTTAAACATTTCATTTTGATAAAAAAGTTATTTTTTACATTTGATTTTTCGTTGTTCCAAAAAAATGTTCTCTTGTTGGTTATTCGTCTTCTCAAAATAAATGATCATGGAACGGATGGTTAGTTTATATTAGCCGAAAAAACACAAAGAAATAAGTGAAACAATAACAAATGCATATGATAGGTAGGTTGGTTTGTTTGGAAGGGGCTATATATAATATACAGAAAAAAAAGACGTAGAGAAAATAAAGAAGAATATTAAATGGATAATTTAAATAACCAATGAGAAATGAAAAGCAGAGTGCAGTACATTCTATTTAATATTAATCTTGAAGGTTTATTTTCTCTGCCATGTTGATAGTTGACATATTTTGCTATGCAGCTGACTTCAAGTGTTCTTGTTTTTTTAGATGCATTTGATATCACGTTAATTTATTACTCATGGGTAATAAACCTGTAGCTAAACTTCGATCGACCGATTTGGAATATTTTCGTCAATCTACAACATTTACCGATGCTGAAATTCGTATATATATATATATATATTAGAAAAAACAATAATAAAATTTTGTCTATATTTGTAGAAGATTGGTATAAATGTTTTCATAAAGATTGTCCAAATGGATCATTAACACTTGATGAATTTAAAAAAATTTATGCACAATTTTTTCCTGCTGGTGATTCTTCAACTTTTGCTGAATATGTTTTTAGACGTTTTGCTACAAATCATCATGATAAAATATCATTTGGAGATTTTCTTATTGCATTAAGTATAACAGCAAGAGGAACTTTAGATGAAAAACTTGATTGGACATTTGGTCTTTATGATACTGATGGTGATGGATTTATATCTAGAAATGAAATGTTCAATATTGTTGATGTAAGTTAACAAAAATAAATATTAAAATAACATTTAATAGATTTTTAGTCAATTTATAAAATGGTTGGTTCAGTTATGCAATTGCCTGAAGATGAATCGACACCACAGAAAAGAACGGATAAAGTAAAAATAATGTTTTAATTTAAAAAAAATTTTTTAAAGAATTTTTTTTTCTAGATTTTTAATACATTTGATATGGATCATGATGGAAAATTATCACGTGATGAATTTATTCAAGGTAAAATTTATTTTCTAAATATAAATTATTAATATATTGAAATTTCTAGGTGCCAAATCAGATCCGTCCATAATGAATTTATTAAATATTGATAGAACACCAATTTCGACAGCAAATCCTATTCGTTCATCAAACAATACTCTATCATCAATGACTCGACTTCATACTTAATATTTGAATATAGATTATTTGATTTTATTGTCTTCCGTTTCTTGAAAAAAATCTCATTCCACACACACACACACACATACACACAAAAACACGCATACAAAGGATAAAACAATCTTGTTTTTTTTTGTCAAATAATTATTAGAAAAAAAAAAAGAACAAATGAAATAAATATTTATTTGGTCAGAGTAAGCCTCGTTTTCCGATCAATGTCACTGAATTTCCTGGAAAAATTCCATATCGTGATAGTGGACGATCATCTGATAATGATTGTTGATGATGAAGACGTTGACCACGATAATATATCAATTGATCATTAATTGATACACGAAATGCATCTTCTAATGCTTTTCCAAGATCTTGACAAGTTGGTTCTTTTTCTGTTTTTAATACTAAATCATGAACATCACCACCATAATGTACCTGTAATTTTGTATACATATGATTACCAGTTACTCTTGTTGGAGGTAATGGAGTTTTTCGAAATGTTTGATCGTTCATTTTAATTTAAGAATTTTTCTTCTAAATTGTATTTAAATATTAGAGAAAATATTTTCTGTATAATCGAAAAAAAAAAAGTTGAAAAGTTATGAATTTTTTTTGTTTTTATTGTTAACAATAAAATCTAGTTTAAATCTAGATGAGATTATTGAATTCAGTTGAAAAAGAATCAATTCAAAAAGGATTATTATTAAGTGTAATCTTTTACCATCTTTATTGGCATAAACATTTCTCGTTATTTACTTCTATTCAAGTTTAACAACTTCACCACAACAGTAGTGAGAATTTAACTTGACTACCGCAAACAAGAGTAGCTTAAAGTTTTTTTTTCTTTCTTTTTCTTCTCTTTCCTGATGACTGTTGTTAGTTTGTTGTCATAACAAATCAGTTTCGTTTTCTTCATTTCTTCATTTATTCTTTATCAACTTTTTTTTTGTAATTTATACGCACACACACACACACACACATACATACATATATATATACTTACTGCTACAATAGTTGAAAGAATAACGAACAAAACATACGTTCAAGAAAGAAAGAATCACACATAACACATGAAAAAAGAAAACATAGAACAATATGAATGTCAAAATCACAGATCATATCACATAATTAAACAAATTTGAAAGGTTTCTTTTTTTATTTCATTCAACAGTAACAAGATAAGGACTTCCAGGCACATGTTGCATATTCAATCCATAAAGAATAACTAACATATATTGACCGCGTACTTGAACTCGATAAGATACTTTGTAAATATAAGATGGAGATGATGGCATTATACGTTTAACAACAAGACGTTCACATGGTCCAAAAGAAGAATAAAGACCAACTAAAAGTAAACCGGGACCTATATAATATTAAAAAAAAATAGTTAAAATAAAGAAAATTTGATTTTTTTTTTATTAATTGAAACCTGCTTGACTAGCATCAATTTTAAATGTTGTTTTTCGTCGTGGTTTAGTTTCATAAAGACCTGTTCCAAAAACACATACTTGTGATGCATCACCAATCATTGATGAACGAAGAATATCAAGATCAACATGAGTTGTTGATCTTATTGATGAACGAATAGGATTTAAAACAGATTGATTAAGTATTAATGAATTACGACTTGTTGTTGTTGTTGTTGTTTGTGTTGTAGTAGCTGTTGTTGTTTCATTTCCAATATCATTGTCTTTTTCATGCATTGTTGATAAAATTGTACGACCTTCATTGAGTTTATCTATAAAGTATTATAAATCTAAATAAGAAAAAATTTTCTTTCAAAACTAAACTAACTATAAACACGACATATAAATGGACTGCCTTGAATATGTTTTCCACCATTTTTTATAGTGATAATATATTTACCACTTCGCATTGGTTTATAATGAAACTAAAATGCATAAAAAAGAAAAATTCTGATGAATTTGTTGATAGATGATAATATTGAAATAATTACTTCGTAACCATGTTCAGTTTCATTAGCATCAAGAAAAACAGTCGATGGACCACTGATACCAACAGAAAACGTTCCTGTTTCTGATGATGGATCATTTGGTGATTTTGATACGAAGAATTGACTTGATTCGCCTAGGTAAAAGACAACGATTTTCTATCATGTGCTTCTCTTTTTTTTCCTTCCTTTCATTCTTATTATTTGGCTGAAGAACGAAGAAATAGCAAAAAAAAAAGAACGAGCGCTACGAGTAGGATTCGAACCTACGCGGGAAGATCCCATTGGATTTCTAGTCCAACGCCTTAACCACTCGGCCATCGCAGCTGCGCTCACCTGTGTACGCATGGAATAGACCTTGTCCGCTAGCAATTATTGATTTTGTAGAAGAAGATGATCGTACAATTAATCGATGTGGATTATCAAATATTGGTATATGATTAAGACTAACATTAAGCCAATGATTTCCACATGTATTTGGTATAAAATATATTTCATAACATTCTAAAATAAATTATTAATAAACTAAATTATTTTTAAATATTCCTATAGATTAAATTTAACAAAAACAAAAAAAGTCTATTGAATGATTTTCTTCATATTTTTATATCTATTCAAAAATAAATCTACAACGGAATTGATCAGTTTGCTCATAAAAAAAAAATACTGTCCTATTTTTTTCAAATCTCTCAATAGATACATGTTATCATTAAACAAGCATTTACTATGATTTAGAACATTTTATTCATTGATAATCTATCTATGTAAATTATTCTAACAGGTGGTGGCAGCAAATACATTTTCATATATTTATTAATTATTAAAATTCCCATTAGAAGTTCGAATAGAATATATGCTTTGTACTATTTTTTGCGTTTGATGATTTCGATAAAAACGATTTTAAAAATGCCATATATAGAAGTATCTTTGTTTTATACTGGCGTAATAAAAAATTTTCAGATGGTTAGATATCTCCCAACCAGTTTTTGAAAATGTATTTATGATCATGAAGATAATTTCTTTGTTTAAAAAAAACCCAAAACGACCATAGTATGTTTTTCTTTTGCACAAAAAAAAATTCCAAATAATCTTGTATTTATTTCGTTCATTTTGAATCTTCGGATGACATATCATTAGCACTGCGAACGAAAATTAAACTAACTAATAGAACAACTATAACAATTAATTTTTAATAAAATTATTGTGATTACTGACTCTTAACTAGAAGTTGTAGACAATTGAGAACTCGAATTACCTCTAGTTAATTTCAGTTCATTTTCTCTTGATTCAATTCAATAGATTCTCTGTCAAGAATGTCTATTACTGCGATTTGTCTATTTTCTATTATTGAATAAACTTTAGAATTTGAAAATGTTTGTTTATGCAAAATTCTTAGTAAATGTCAAAAACTAATTAACAAGTAAATTGGAGTCGTTTTATTTGTACCTTCGAAAATGAATAAGTGAGATCTTTTCTGTTTTTATTAGATCGTAGCTCACAAATCACTTATAGAAGTCTTGGTTTTTCGTTAGTTAATTTTTTTCGATAACCATCGCGGATAACAAATAGGTCATTTTACTTTTAAAATTATAGACAATACTAAAATAGCATACGATAAATTTTATCGACTTTTTTCAGATACTCTTGTTATGAATGATAACGATGACATTGATTCGAGAGATCCACTTGTCAAACAGCTAGCACTCTTAATTGATCCTGTTACCTGTAAAAACTCACCGTTAATCGATGCAGAATATTCAACTTATTTTTTTTTTCATTAAAGATGAACTGAAAACAAGCCGAATAGTGAGATGTGTCGTCTTGTTATCATCTGGTTACATTGTAATGAAAATATTGGTTGTTATGAAGTCAGCTTCACAAAAATTTGTTTATATATCAACTTTAACAAACATGATTAAGGGAATAATTTACAGGTGAAATGACAGTCTATCAATTACTGCTAGTACAACAGAGGTCACTTGTTTTTCAAATAAACTATAGGATGCTCAATAGATTCATCGATCAAGTCGACGCTATGATAGAATGCAAAAGGAGCACGAATGATTTGTGTTCGTTTTGCTTTTACCTTCCTAAAATAGAGTGTTCTTTTTATACAGAACTTGGTAGTTGGGTGTCGTCCAACCTATATTCCTACCCTGATTGCGCTACTATTGTTTTGATTACAAACAAATTATCAATCTACCTGATTTTGCTGATTTATGAACTGTAATTGGTAGATTAATATTTTTCTGCGGTGCTTGAATATAAGCTTGAAAAACAGCACTTGGTACAACTGGATGAACAGTAACTATACATGGGGTATTGATCTAATATTCATATTGAAAATAAATTAACTATCCAAAATAAAGAAAATTAACATACATAAAATTCTCTAGGTTCAATAGTAGCATGAGGTGGATTAATAGGAGGTGGAAGAGTAGGTGGAACGACTTGTTCTTGTAATGGTTGAGCACGTAAACGTAAATGATAAGGTGAACCATCGATTTGTTCACCGTCGTATGTTACTGATATATGATAATTACCTAAATATGAAAGTATATTATTTATGAAAATTTTTATTATTGAACTTTTTTAACCAGGTGTTTGACATATATAAAATACTCGATAGATGCCTGTATCAATAATTTCAATTTGAATATCAGCTTTTGATGGGCCATCAACAGCAATAACAAGTTTTTGTAATTCAGCATGAGGTGCATCCAATTCAAAATGACCTAAGATTTTTTAAATAGTTTAAAGATATATGTAATAGAACAAAATAAATACAAACAATTATCATTAACAAAACCATCGGTAAGACCTGGACCTTTAGCTTGAATAGTTGGTCGTTGTTCTGTACTTGATATTGGATTATCATAAAGATATGATGGTGATGGTGGTGGTGGTGGTAGAGGAAGTGCTTTTTCGTGCTTATTATTATTATTAATTTGACTTTGTAAACAAGATTGATTAATAAAAGATGATGATCTTTTCGTTAGTGATGAATATAATCGAAAATCTATAAATAAAGAAGCGTTTTTCATCGAAGAAAAGAAAATTTAAATAAATTTTTACTGTTTAGTTTTGGTGTTGATGAGTTTTCTGTTGTTTTGAGTAAGCCTGAAACATAAAGAAATAGAAAAATAATAAAGAAAAAAACTCGTTCTTACTATTAAGACGTCGTAATGGATTAGAAAAAGTAAATGATGGTCGTGTATATATAGGTACTTTAGATGTTTGATGACGTTCATTAAAACTTGCTGTTGTACGTTTTGATACACGTCTTATTATTTTATTTGATGAGGTTGATTGTTGTTCATCACCACCATCATACATTTCTTCTGTTACTTCATCAGTTGTTGATACTGGTAAATCAATATCATCAACATGTACAATATATAATAATGTTTCAATATAAACTATTTTAATAAATATTAATTATTAAACACTATTAAGTTGAACTTACCATTGTTTCCATCCTCGGTACTTTTACTACTTGAACTACTACTTTTATTACTTAGACGGTCAGTTGATTCTATCAATTTATTATTTTTTGTATACGATTCATTGTTATTATTATTATTATTATTATTATTGCGTAAAATTGATGAAACTCGACGAATTTTTGGTAACATTTTAGTCAATAAATGATAAGTATAAAATCTCGATAGAGTTTTTTAGTCTAGAAATTAAGAGAAAAACAAAGAATATGAATAAAGTTATTCTCTGAAAAAGAAGTTCATTTCGATTTATCAAAAAATGGTTATTATTGTCTAGAAACTTTTCAAGAAACAGATCAATAGAAGTATAATATGAAAATCTCTATGTTTCATGCATGAATCTCGAAATGTGCCGAAACTGAGATTTTCATTTTAATTGGACTACTGTACTTTTTTTTTTTTTAATAAATATAATAATTATAAAGGTATTTTCTCCAAATATTTTCTACAATAAAAGTCAAAGAGAATTTTAAACTCGAGTTTCGAACACATAGATATCTAAAGAGGGCGCTAACATACACACATGACTACTAAACTTCATGTCTAGGTTTTTATTTTTTTAAACATATTTCGAAATTTGTTTTTGTCTAGATATTTTATTCTTTCAAGACCGTTTAATAAAATAATAATTCAATTGTTATACTTCATAACAGAGGTTGTTGCTATCTCATGTACACGTCCGATGATAGATAAATGCGTAAGTGAAACACTCGATTCGAAACCGAGAATAATATAAAATTTCCAACATTTGTTTATATTTAATGGCGTTGGATAGTGCCAATTGGATTGCTGAAACTGTCGGTGATTTTATTCACTCATCAATCTGGGGAGCTCCTATTTATACATTTATTGAAGCAAATTGTGCTACTTTTGATTATGATGATGATGATGATGCTACAGAAGAAGATGATACAACATCATCAGCATCTGTGGAAGAACAAATGAATATTTATCAACAATATCAACGTCTTGTTGATGCATTAATTGAAGGTCTTGGTAAAGATCTCGATTTAGATCAAAATGAATTAAAAACAGTTTGTCAATTGCCAATATCCGGTGATGAATCTGGTATAATTGATGAACCATTTGAACAATTGTATGCAGCAAGAGACTTTCAATTATTTCAAGAAATGATGAGAAGAAAAAATTTAATTCTTCAATTACAAGCACTTGTTACTTTACAATTACAATGGGGTTTATTAAAACATAGTGAAGCTGGAGATGATCTTGTTCTTTCACTTTTATTACAAGCTACATCATCACCATCACAACCAGGATCAGCTCATCTACCATCAGAAACAATTGAAAGACCACAATTACAGAACAATGAAGACAAACATCAGCAACAACATGTTGCTGATGATGATGATGATAATGATGATGATGACGATGAGGACGTTGTTATTGTACAACAAAAACAACCATCATCATCACGTAAGAAAAAAGAACCAAAAATAACAGCTAAAGAAGAATATCGTTTACCTGATCTACGAGTTAAAGGTGGACCAGAACTTGATGCCAAATGGTATAGAGATCTTCAACAAAAAACTCAAAAGGTTTTATTCTATATAGTTTTAAGTTTAACTTTTTGAAATATAATTTTTACTTTTTTATAGAGAAATGACAATGATGATTCAAAAGAAAATAATCAACTGAAAACAACATCTACACCTCAAACAATTGGTGCTATTCCTGAAGAAGTACTTCGTGACAAATTACGTGAATTAACTATTCGTACAACGTCATCAGTAGATAATGAAACAGCTGCTGCTATGGAATCACGAAAGAATTTTCTTCAACAACAACGTAATTTAATTGTAAATAAACAACGTGCAGAACGTACACTAGATTTAGAACAACAAACACCTAATCCCCGACCACAATCAGCTGCACATATTGCACGTAAAGCTATGGCAACAACTAATAAAGCAAATGAAAACAAACCAGGACAACAACAACAACAACAACCTACGCAAATACCTGAAGATGAATTAATCAAACGACGAGCTATGGCTGCTAAACTTAAACGTGAAGTTGTAGATAAACGATGAATGTTTTTTCATAAAACTTCCTATCTCTTTGATTATGATAGTTACACATTTCAATTTTTCTTTCCTTTTCTGTGCTTTTGTTTTCAAAAATCGTGTATATCGAAGTAAACATCAAAATATTTTCAAATTGATTAAATCTGAATTCTATCTAAATCTATTATTTATATTCTTGCAGTTGATCTATCGATTTTTTATTCAAATAAAAATTTCATACAATGGATGTAAATAAGAATTCAATAGTGGATCTAGAATCTTAGTGGGGGATGGCGATTTCTAAAGGATACTTTCTGAGGTAGTATGATTGTTTTTATAAATCAGTCAGCAAACATACTCGTATACATATAGTTCTCTGTACCATTTTTATACAAATTCATGAATGAATAGCTTTTATTAAAATAAAATAGCAACTAAGAAAACTCAAAGATCCAGACAATGATTCGATTTAGAAGAATTCATCAATAACCGAGTTAACTTTATATTCATATCTTAATAAATATACATCATCATTAATTCATTAAGCATTTGTTCTGATGTTTTTGTCTTTTGAACTTACTTCTTTTTTGTAAAACTTATCTGAAGATACATTCTAGTCTGAAAAAGAATGGTGACTTGGCATTAAACAAAGTAATCTTAAAGAACAAACACCTCATATAATATCATTAGTATATGCTTAGAGATTATTCTAAAATATTTAATTGAAGGATTAGATCTTTCTCCGAAACCATTCGAAACTTCTAGGCAGACGCTTCAATTTTCGTTGTTTAAGTCGAAGTTGTAGTACTGTTTTTGTTTTGAATATTTTAACCGTTGGTTTTTTTTTTTTTTAAGTAATCATCAATTAATAAGAGTAATAACTAATGTTCTTATTGCATCAATAGCTGTTTCTCACTAGCGTGCTTTACTTATTATTGAAATTGCACTTTAACAATTGCAGTTGACATTTCTTGGCGACTTTATCGATTTCAAAATTTGAATTCTTTTGTGCAAATATTTATTAGAAAGATTATCTAAAAGACTGCTTTATTACTTTTATGTATGAGAGCTAGCGATCGTCAGACCACTGTACTACTAGATCCGCTAGTGGATGTATATATTACTAAATATGAACTATTCAAATTTATTCTTGTTTTGTCTATGCAATGACAAATATATAATTTATTTGAAGAATAATGTCAAATAATTTATCGAAACTTTTAGTTACTTAACAATAATATTCATAATATCTATGATAATGCGTTTTCCTCTAATACAATTTTAATTCTTTTCTAATTTACTATCGATTGATGATATCTATCAATTTGTGTTGTTAAATAATCGATAAAAGATATGCGATGTAATGTTTCAACATGGATCATCTTTGTTGTTATTATATTTAATTCTTGTATTAACTTTTGATAGATAGTAATTAAAAGAGGACATGCAATAAGTGTCATTATAATGATAACAATAAAAGACAAAATTGATTGTTCTGTTGTATCTCCATAGCCAACATTCAATAGGATTTGATAAACAAAATAAATATAACGTGATGGAGCTAGAATTGTATGACGATTTATCGAATCAATTGTCAATGAACTTGAATCTGTTACATAGAGTATGATGCCCATCCAAATACACATGAATATCACAGTAGCTAAAAACAAAATAAGATGAGAAAAAACACGAAATGACGAATGACCACTATAATAAAGAAGATCAATCAAGTGACACATGTCTCTTAAACATAAACGTATAAGAAGTAAATGACGAAAAGCAAGCCCCATAATGAAATACCATGTGCCTAGAAGAAATAATCGATGATTATTTTTACTGATCGATTTTTTTTTCTCTTCTATACCTGTATATTTATAAGACAGTAAAGTAACTATAAAAGGTAAAGAAGCAAAAATAATTTGCATAACAAAAACAGGACTTTGAAACGAAGCAATTATAACTAATGGTTCACTTAATGGTGCTTTTCCTTTGATTTGACTTCTCTCTTCTTCATGTTTGTTGTGCATATAAAATTTGATTTTAAATAATAGTTTATCGGAATGTTGTTCATAAAACAAAGTCCATAACAGAACTAAACTAATAAGAATATCTCCAATAAGTAGACTTCTAAAACGATGATGACATCGCCATAGAATCATTTCAAACATGCCCATTACACAAGAGATACATGATATGCAATCGATTATACATCGACAAATACACTTCTGAATAAGTAAACGAGAGAGAAGAGAGATGATTGATAAAGATTGTGAATGATGTCCAAATAACAGATTTGAAATATCATCTGACTAAAATAAAACTATATAGATACGTATATATCAATCGTTCGTTTTGTTAAAAATGTACCTGATAATATTCTAAAAGATTATAAAAAGTCAATTCTTCTTGAAAAAGTTTCTCAGACAACGAAATCATCGATGGACGTTTTATTTTATTCAATGACTTAGATGAAGTGTAGAAAGGTAAAATAATACGTTCAAATATATGTACATCACGTGAGAAAAAATAAGCATTCAGACTCGGACGCCAATATGTTTGAAGACGAATATCATCCGCTAAAAGTGTATTTGGATAGCGAACGAGATCATTAATACGAATCTTTTTGTAATTTTTTTTAAAGAAAAATGATCATCAGAAAAACAAAAATAGAAAGAAACAAAGAAATACATACTTGAAATGGTTTGCCAAGTACATTGAATGATCGTTGCTCATCATTTTCGCTGTTTTCATTTGTTCTACTATGCATTATTAATAAATGATAATAAGCGCCACTTTATATTTAGTGTTGTTTACAGTTTTATTTTTCAACGGAACTATATAGTGAATTTCTTGAATAAAGTTTTAATTCGATATGGATATACTCGTTTTCAAATTAATATTGATTTAGGTAGAGTTTTAACTTTCAAAACACTAATCGTGTTCTTCATGCTCTGCTATCTTCTTAGTAATTTCATAGAACATTGGGAAATATTTTTTTTTTTTGGTATCAAACGTATATTTAGGCTATTCCTACTATCAAAACTCTGACATTTTAAAACAGATTCAACACTTTTTTCAATTACTCAAATATTTTTGAAATAGACTATATTCAATCAGTGATGCGACAATAGTCAAATTTTACCACAGCTTATATATGTCACAGTTGACATAAGAATTCAGTTGAGTTTGACATGCATGTGAATTGTATGAGTCACATGATAATTAATGTTTATTTACTATGGTATTCAACTTTTGTAATTTTAGCGAATCTAAATGATTGGTCGAGCTTCTATGATTTATTTTGAATTATTTTAAAATATTTACATATAGAAAATTTTCACTTTTAACCATTCCTATTTAGTGACTATTAAAATTTTATGAATTTTATTCATCCCTTTATAATTCATCGATTGATGTTCGGTGCTATAGAACATCCAATCAAGAAACATATTCTATGTCCGTTTGTTCCTAATTACATAAATTATATCTTTTTTTCATGTCAATCTCTTACAAAAAAATGAACATTCCCAATTCTAACCTAAAATCTTACATTAATAAACTTTCTCATAATAAGTCTATCGAATAGATGATCAACAATCTATTTATAGTTCAATTATTACTCAATCAATCGAAAAACAGATCGGCTGCTATTTGAAATAGCATAAACCATTCAATTTCAAGTGTTTTAACAACGAATTTACTAACACTAAACATTTAACCAATCATTCGATACTCCAATATTACGAGCATCGAAAAAAACCTATTTTATAAAAACAAATAGCTCAAACTCTCTCAATTTCGTTTCAACCAATGATTCAATGTCTCCATATCCCGCAGCTCGAAAAAAATCTATTCTATAGAAATAAATAGCTCAAATATTCTCGATTTGATTTCAATCAATCATTCAATGTCCCCATATCCCGCAGCTCGAAAAAAAATCTATTCTATAGAAACAAAACAAATAACTCGTGTACTCTCGATTTCGTTTCAGCCAATCATTCGATATCCCGAGAACCGATGTAGAAACTACACTATAAGGGAAATAATGAGTAAGAATTACTTTTACAAAAAAACAATAAACAAAATGACTAATGACTTTTTATCAACAAAATAACAGTACGAAGATACTTTTTATTGTTCCAGAAGTAATAGTAAATATAAATTTGACAAGAAACAAACAAGTTTTCTTGAATATGTGTTAGAAAAATTTTTAAACAAACAAAGTGAACTAAGTGATTCCAATTTCAACTAAGTTCCAAACTCAACGGCAACAAGGTTCGTTTTCTTTACTACTGATACAATAGCATAGAATTACTTTTTTCGACAAAAATATTCATAGATTTTTTTCTAATGTTACTATAACTGTTTTAGTCCATGTTAGTCTTCATGAAAATAACCCATCTGTTCACTCACACCCACACTCTAGCCACACCCATGCTCAAGTGTGGTCATCAATCAATTGATCACCTTATTGCTTACTGCTTTTACACCAATTTTTCTGAGAACTTCACAGACAAAACCTAATATCTTTGTTCGCATCCTCCAGTGTATCCGAAAGAGTGTAAGTCGTCAGTTCACTCACACCCACACTCTTAATACGCACACACACAGCAGCCTAGATGTTTCTACTGCTTTCAATAGTCTTCGCAAAGAAGCGAGACACCAATTTTGTAGTCAGATGTTTTCTCTAAGTACTTCCCACTACTTATTCAATGACTTCAGTAAAAATAAAAGGGCAAACTGGGCCTTGTGTTTGCTATTTATTCTTTTTATCTTCAAGTTAGAGTGAATGTTTAGGTGAGAGTGGATGGATGAATAGAAGACTTGCATTCATACGCACACATCCCCCTCATTATCAGATAAACGAAGTATAAAACAGAGATAAGAGGTAGGAATCATTCTTTTTTTACTTCGTAAATGTAAAAAACCCAAAATAGTAGTAGGAATAATTAAAGAAAGCAGAAAAAAAATGAAAATAAGAAAATATGTCATCTTAAATATGAATCCATCATGCAAGAGCATTAGGATCAACATCTAATTTTTTAGCTCGTGATCGTGCTGCTTCAGTTCGTGATTTGACAACTGGAATGAACAGTATCCCTGTAATTCGAATAGCCGCTGGACATTCAATGCGCCATTCAATAGCATTTAAATCATCACTCGAATGTGCTTTATATGTTGAGACAGTGCTTGGAAAAGCACGAAATGCGTCTTTCTGAACTTGACATTCTAGTACTGCTATCATGCGTTGGTCGTCATGAGAAAATGTTACAGCATAGACTGGGTCTGAACAGTAATATATGCTTGGACTAACAAATATTGCATTAGCAAAATCGGGAATACCGAAAGCTTCTTCTCCTCGTGGAATATGACTTGCAGGTGGACAGACACGAAAACCGTTAGAGACAACTGTACTTGGCATCACAAGCCCGTCCATGAGTATCGATCGGATAACATTAATAGACGTACCATGATAGGCAGTGTGCGGGAAAAGTTGCGGATTATAGTCGCATATCTTAAGATAGTGACACATCACGGGAGTTTGATGTAGCTGAAATTTCTGCCCAACAGCAGCTTCAATGAACATGTCTGGTGGCAGATAAAGTGCGTTCGGGAAAATTTCACCATGACGTATCAAAGCATGTAGGCTACCAATGCAAGGTAAACGATTATGTTGATTACTATAGGAAAACCAGTAGGCAGAGTTTGGCATCCACGTATACAGTTTCACATTTGTTTCATCATTGACTGTTACATTGGGCATATCATTTAGTTTGTCATGTTTATTGGTATAATTTGTTTGGAATAAACAAACACATCTAGGCAATTGAAACTGTTCAGGATCTGGTGCAAAAATATATTTTACTTCAATTGAAATATTTTTATCAGCACAACCGGATGCAAAAGTGAATAACAAATTTTTAATATTATACGTTTGTTCCTCTTTTGATTTAGCTTTAATTTGAAAAGATGCATCTTTACATTTTGATTGAAACTTGCCCTGGAAAATGCGTAAGTTAGAACTGACAAGTTCGTCTCTCTGTGTATAACCACTATTCATATAGCGAGGAGAATTATAGGTAATGAGACATATTGGTAAATCTACGAATTTCGAGCTTGCATAACGAGCACGGCACACGGCTGATATTAATGTTGTAGTTTCATTATCAAAATCTAAAGGACTTCGAGCAATGGAGAACCATCGATATTTATTATGATATGGTTCTGGTATAGCCTTTATGAGATCACTAATCGTTGCATCGCAGTGTAGTTGTACTTTTACAATTGGTTCATTTCCGGAACTCGCACCATCCTCAAACAAATGTACAGGAATGTACTTGTCAACAGCTAAATTATTTCGATATTCTTGTAAGAGTTTTTTTATTTCGTCACCTTTGGCTTCATCCAAAGCCGTAGCATCATATTTATTTCTGATACTGACATCGGCACCTCGAGAGAGCAATAACTGAACTGTCGATAAATGTCCATTATATGCAGCACCATGCAATGGTGTACTACCTTTGTTAGGTATTTGTACATTTATATTTGCACCTTTTTGTAAAAGGCATTTTGCGACAGATGTTTGGCCAAAACGGCATGCAACATAGAGTAAACTTGTGCCCGTGTGATCGACAGCATTAGGCGATTTGCCATCAAAATGATATTGAAACCACCAATCGACACCATTCTTTGCCATTTCAAACATATTTCTTTCACGCATTAACCGAAATATGTCGGTAATTTGATTGCCATTAATTAGACCTTCTTGTTCAGCCGTCATGCCCCATTTATTGATTAGAGTTGAGTTTGCACCTTTATTGAGAAGATACTCAATAATTGATGCATGTCCACCGTAGGCAGCAAGATGTAGAGCCGAATTCAAATTGATATCAATAATGTCGAGTTGAGCTGAACGCTCTTCGATGAACCATTTAGCAAGATCGAAATAACCCTTTTTGCAAGCGCAATGAAGTAATGTCCGTTGTTGAGGAGGATATTGTGTATCAATATGTTCTCGAATATTCTTAATATTTTTTTTGAACCAATCTAGTTGATTAGTAGCTGCTTGAACGAAGGGCATCTGTTTCAATTCAGCAAAAGTTTTTCGAACCTCATCATCATGAGATTCTTGTTCGGCCGTATTTCCGTGAGAATTTTTTAATTGATAATTGGCTCCACATTCTAATAGGCAACGAATTATTTCTGGATGTCCATAGAATGCCGCCACATGTAAAGCTGTGCTTCCTGTCCGCTGTGATAGATCAGAATCAGCACCTTGTTCAATTAAATAGTATACAGCTTCAACATTGCAAGCACGTGCTGCACAATACAACGGTGTATGACCTGTTACCGGATCTTGTGCATTAATTTGCCTTAATGTCGCGTTTTTCAATCGTTGCCTCAATTCTAATGAAAGATCAGGTTCCGCTGCTAACTGTTGAAGTGTATATTTCGATACGTGCAAATCAGAAATCCATTCTTGTCGCTGATTATATCGCTTCCTTTTGTCATGATCGGATAATGTTTCATATGCACGGCATATTTTTCGGAATTGTTCAGCCGTAATCGTACGATTTGCAGACGATTTCTGTCGATCTGCTTTGAACTGATGAATCAATTTAAGATATGCGTTACGCAATTGTAAATCGTTACTCGTTTCAGCCACTCCAAGAATGCTGTATGGTGTGATAGCTGATGAAGCCATATTTTGTTGCCTGTTTACTTTGCTACGAAAAGGTAATGTGTGTCGGCGAATGTAGTAAGAGTCACGTTTTTGTTATGTTTCTTCTACTCTTTCTTGCATCCGCGGTTCTCTTTCTAACAAAGAAGTCTTTTCGTCTTCCTACGCTTTTTCTTTTCACCTAAACACAATACGGCGACATCTCCAAATTGAAGAAAGAAAAATTGCGTTGGCCATATATTCCATTTTGCAATTTAAACAATAACATTTATGAGCACATTTTTTATTATTCTTTTTCATATAATGACTTCCGAGTAGGCATGCATCACATCCAGTAAACTATCGTCAGATTTTTTAAAAATGTCAACCACCATTTTTTGAATGACTTTCGATCTTTTATAACTATTAACGTCGGGCTTTTGTTATTAGATAGAGCTATGTTAGAGACACCTATCTGTGTAACATTTATTAAGTTCGAAGAAATTTTCCAGGAATATTTGAAAGTGAACAGTTTTTTCGTTGTTCATTTCTACAACCGTTCGTAACAACCTAGGCTAAAATTACACCAAAATGTAGTCCAAAGAGAGCCAGATTACGTATAAAATTTCCAGATATCAGAACACTTCTCTTGAAGCATGAGTTCAGGGTGAGGATTAAAAAAAAATCAAACAATTATACAGGGAATACAACACTTTTCGGGCTAAATTTTGGTGTACTTTAAGCCTAGATTGCTACGAAAAGTTGTCGAAATTAACAATGAAAAAACGTTCATATGCAATCATTCGTGAAAAATTTCTGCGAACTTAGTGAATGTTACATAGGTAGACGTTTCAAAAATTGCTGTATCTAACGGCGTAAACTTAACTTCGATAGCTATAAACAATTGAAAGTTGTTCAAAAAATGGTGTTTGGCATTTTTAAAATATCCGACAATAGATACTCAGTTTACTGGTTAATCAGTTAACTGGTGCCAATTTAGTTGGTGTAGTACTCTCTGATTTTTTCAGGTCAATTTAATCAATTGAGTCTAATACAATGAGAATACTGGGAAGTATTGATAATTTTTCTTTGTCACCTACTAATTTCGTATCGATAGATGGCTGAATCGCTAGTAGTTGTCATTTACAAAATAATCTTCTCTTGATCAATAAGATTTTTCTGACACTTCAATTCACAATCAAAGTTATTATGTTATAATCTGTTGATTTTTAACGGTCGCTATATTAACTATTTGGCTATCATATCTCGTTCATTATTTCTGTTGATTAGAAGGGCTGAATGTAGGTATGTAGATTAGTGTGGGTATTTGGAGTGTGGATGAATATAAGGGTGAGAATGTGAATATATTTATTCTTTTTGCCGATACTCTGGCCGCACACTCACCTCACACTCAAACCCACACCAGATGCATCTAACAGCTACTCATTTGATGCTTTTGTCGAAGTCCACATGGAATGTGTAAGAATAAAGGATAATGCTGTGCTCACTGCAAGTACTTATTAAAGTTATATGCAAGAAGCGTCGATAAGAAAAAGCAGGACTTTTTTTTCGATACTTTTTGTTCTGCTGATTTCTAAGTGATTGTTACTGAAGTTTTCAGCAGAACTCATAGTATAGGGGTTTTTCTATGTACTCTATTGAATGAATATATCGAAAATGACTTCTGAGGGTTTTTGGAGATATTTTTTGATGCTTTTGATATTCATTGGGAATTGGAAAAGCAGGATTTTTTTAAAACTTTGCAGGTTTGATGGGAAAACGTACTAAAATGAAATAATCTTGTAAAAACCAGATGGAAGTAGTGTTATTTGCACATACGTTTTGAATGAAGAAAAATCGATGAAAAGGATTTCTTTTTGGTTTGTTTTGGCTAGGGTATGGCCGTATACAGTAGTCTACGATTTGGTTGCGGCGGTAAACGTTGCTGTATTTTATCGTGTATTTCTAAAGTGCGACCGTCTTATGACAGTGTTGTAGCGTAGACTGTTGTAATTTTCTGCCGTAAACAACACGGCGATTCACGACTGTAGTACAGTGCATATTAAAAAGTTCATTTACGGCTTGTATACGGGCGTATGTTACTCGTTTACGCTAGTTCACAACATCATAAACGTCCGTATACGATCGTTTATGATCGTCCTAATGCTCAACCTGGGTGCACTTTTTACGATTTTTAAAAAACTTTTTTCGAAAAAGCAGCAAGTTCAAAGACGCTGCCGCTCCATAAACTTTGCTTTTTGAAAAATAAAAGTCGTTTTTTTCGCATCCTTTCAGCATAAAAAGACAGCATTTTGACGCGAAAAAGGGCATTAAAATGATCCGTTGTGCACCTCGTTTATTCTATATTAAGATGATAATGCGATCAATTCTGTCCATCAATATTTTTATTACTCCTCGTTTTGAAAAATAAAATTAGATACATCCATTATTTATCGCTAACTGGATTTTTTTCTAGAATAATATCTACTTTGCTGTAAGAATTATTCTATGATAAATATTTTCTTCTATGAAAAATAAAGAGAAATCATATTTATTAAGAAGGTCCCTAAGTCGACCATTACAGACTCTGTAAACGATCACTTGTGGTCGTATACGACCACATACATATCATATACGCTCCATCATATATGTCAAACCTGAAAATTGAAGTCAATAATTGAATATCTGAAATTAAGATATTCAATTATTGGACTTGGTTATTCGCGGAAATCTACACACAAAGAATCTCTCTCATTGAGAATGTCACAGGATCGTACACATCTGGCATCTATCTCGACGATGATATCACAGAAATACATCTACGAGGCAAAATCAGAATATTCAAATATTTCAAAATGTCTTCAATAATTGAATTGAACTTTCAGGTTTGATACTACTGTTCCCACCCACCGCAGGTTATCATTTTTAGAAGCAAATCTTTACCAACTTATTTGTTGAAATATTTCTATTCTAAGAGAGAATAAGACCAAACAAAATAACTTTGTTTTATATGAAAATAATGAATGACAGAATCCATACATGATTAGGTTTAGGAATGTATTAGATTTAACGGTAGGTTTTATCGTTATTTGTTGTTCATTATATGTATGTTTTGCTCTTGTTTTCAATAGATTTATTTTGTGAATTGTTGTGTAAAAATCAAAGAATAATATTTTCCTCAAAAACTTTGTTTTAGAATTAGACATCAGAAAAGAGAATTTTAAAATGCTATATTTTATCCTTAACAATAATCAACATATTTCATACATGAGTTTAAATTTCAGGTTTGATATGTATAACTTACGTTGTGTTGATGCATCATTATTAACGGCAAAAAAAATAGCTGACCGCCGTTATCACGAACAATTTTTCTTAAAAAGATTTTGTATGTCTTTTCTTCAATTTATATACTCTTTTGTACAAGATAGATTTGAGAATGCTATAGCTAGTATATTTAAAAGAGATCCTCAATGATTTTTCGACTGATATCCTATTTAGAATGTATTTTTGAGAATCTTATAGCTAGTTTGATAGAGAAGACCTTTGGAGGGTTTTTCTGGATACGGTATATTCCCAGTATGTTTCCGGAAGAATGTGATATGATTCCAGTGTGTTTCCGCACGGATAAGACTCTATTCTAGTACGTTTTCGTTTGGATCTGGTGCAATTCTTTGATATTTGTTCGATAGGGGGAAATGTTTGGAAGCTGTCGATTTGAGTACGGTAATTTTTCGGCTGGAATACTGCTTTCATATTCTGTTTATTTTTCTGATCGGAACGAAGCGAGAACATGGCGGAATTTACTGGAAAAAAGGACCGTTTCCTGTAGGTTTCTGTCGTATTCGGATTCCGGAATCATCGACCTGGGTAAATCATGAGTACACATTCAGTTGCGAAATAAGTACAAAAATTAAAACGAAAGTATTTTTAGAACTCGCTGCTTATACAACTCTCCGACAATGTCTATGGCAATACAACTTGGTATTCAAGATAACCTTTTTCCTCAGTTTATCCTACATAATGAGTGCACAGAGGCTAGCTACAGAATGACTGATACGTCGGGTCGGATCAATGAAAAATCAGTAAGAAATTCTATAAATTAGATCTTGCCAAGAAGAAATTTTCATGTAGTGTTGATTTTTCAAGCGGATTCAGCTTGTTAATATTATTAGTTGCACGTCAAAATGTAAAACAAAACCATGAAAATTCAAACTTTTTTTTTGAAAAAAAGTCACTATTCCTCTAATTCAGTATTAAATACAAGCGACTGGTTTTATCTGAACAAAGCACACACACACTGTTGTAAATATCATGTGCCAAAGAAAAACTCGGAACAAAAACGTAAAAAGCAAAACATGTAATATCTTGAATATTATATTTTCTGCTATAAATACACAAGATATTTTGATAGAAATATCTCATTTAATGTGTTGAACCAGTTGTTACATTTTAAAATTTCCATCATAAAAATCCTAGTTTACTCAGGTATCGTAACATTCATGTTGCATCGTGTATTTTATGTTTCCTTTTATAGTTATATAATGATGACTGGCGAAATCTATCGGGTGTATTATTTAACATGGTTTCTTTTTTTGAGGTCTGTTGCCTAACACACTCTCGTTTTCAATCATGATTAATGTCTGCTGTTTAGATAATACCGTAATTCGACTCTTCTGTTGTTTGCTGTTGCTATTGAATGATTGACAGAAGTAATGCTTCGCTCCCCAAATAGTGTTCGAGGTCAACATCAATCAACATCAAGTATTTATAACTACAAAACACTCAATGAAATGGAAATGAGGACGATAAGTACGAGAACATCACATCAACCATCAATAATAGATAGTCAGACATCGAATAAATATAATGAAACATTGAAAACATCACTTGCTGATCGTTCTTTATATCTTCCTTTACATCGAATGTTGAGTAATGTTTCTTTATACGAAATGATTATTGAAGGAAAATGGAAATTTCGGGCATATGAAGATGATAGTTTTCGATTCAAATCAATGGGTATTGAAAATTTAGTTTATATTTGTCAT